AAAATATCTTTTTTCATAATTTAAGAAATGGAAATTTTATAATTATCGTTAATTTTTGAATAAAAAAGGTTTTAACGCAGAGCGGTAAAAATTCTCCGGGGACTAGTCAAGATTCTCCGTGGACTGGTGCCAGTCCGACGGACCGGCAGTTGAGAAACGTTGGTCTAGAGCAGTGTTTCTTAACCTTCTTGAATACGCGACCCCTCTAAAAGTTAAAAAGTTCTGGCGACCCCCCACGGCCATATTAAAACTATGTCAATGATTTTAAAAACTACGTATTTAATTTTCTTTTTGTTGAAATTTAATTATCGGTAAAAAACTAATTGTACTGTAAAATAAACAGGCACAGCCTTCTTACTGAAATTGTAGTTTTTTTTATTGTAGTGTAGGACCTACAAATACTTATTTTTTTCTTTTACCCGCGACCACCGTGTATGGCTTTACGACCCTCCTGGGGGTCGCGTCTCATAAATTGAAAAACACTGGTCTAGAGGACCAATGCGTAATTCTACGAAAAATTTACCGATTTGAGTTTGAGATTACGAAAATCATGTGATCCGATGGAAAAAGCTCTATTAAATTAAAGGCTAAAGCTACAGTAGGCCTACGCATTTTATCGTGAATACACACGTGTATTTAATGGACTGTTAAATTATTGAAACAATTGTTTTTGCGAGAAGTGTTCAAAATAATTAAATACCAAACAGATTTCTTCCATAAAAATAAAAAAAGTAATAAAAAATTTCTCTTCATTGACAATGTGTACAATGTCCGAATGACTTGAATGGACATCCAATAAATCAACAATGTGTAATTGGTAAAACCGAAAATGAAACTGCTACTTAAACATGGAGACTTTCCTTATAAACACATAATATGATGGAAGATTTTGAATTAAACAATATTTTTGCAGGTCACTGAATTAGATAATGACTTCTAATTTCATTGTTTGCTTATTTCGAATTATTTGAACTAAAATATATGCAAAATCTTATTCTCTTGGCCAGGGACTATGAATTATCCGATACTGAAATAACGAGGTTTTACTGTATATGCTACTTCAATGTAAAACAGTTACCATTCTCTGGAAAACTGATCATTTCTTATTTTACACATACAATTATTCAATAATCACAAGATATTTATTATATGTTTTGGAAAACATGAGTTAAGAAACTTTGTACAGTGCTCCAGAAAATGCTTCACATAAAAATTGGTAACACTAAAGTTCTGAGATGAATACACCTAGTTTATTTTTAGTAACTTCAATTATTATTCATTTATGTTATACTTGAACTTTTAGCCACTTCATTTATTTTAATTCTTAGTTATTTAAATTTCAAGTTTATTGAAAATATCTGAATTTTGTTGTTCAAATTCCTACAGAGAGACTATAAAAATAAAATCATTTGACACAAGGATGAAATTCAATTTCTTTATAAGTTGCTGTAATTGATGCATCATTGTTGAAGAATACATACTAGACACATGTTTGTTATTATCTATAACAAAGCAGCACCAATGATCCTCATTAGTTAAATTAACATTTAATTAACATGTTTACCTTTATACCTTTGTTTGATCTTGGGATGGAACATGTATATTCAAAAATGTGGCCACTCGTTGATTAGCCTTGATAGCTTGATAAAGGATTATTTGGTATTTGATGCACAAATAGTTTTTTTTTTTTTTGTTATCGCTACAAGACATTATAAAATTTTGTTGCTTTATCTGTTGCATTTGTTATGTCAATTTTCAGATTTTATAATTAGAAATTGCAAAAATTTTTAAGGTCTAATTGAGTTCTTTTCTTTTCATAGATCAAAGACAAAGAATGCAAAAAATATAACAATAAGTAGTGGCGATGCATCTCCTGGTAGTCCGGCTTCTTTGATATCTGTATCGTCTAATACCAAAATCAAGAAGCGTCGTCATGAGAAACAACCTTCTCCAGCATCCACTGTCTCTTTGTAAGTCTTAATATTTATATGATTTTCAGAATTACCAGAAAGAATTTGGTCCTAAATGTTTTTGATTTAATTATTTTTTAATTTATTTTTATTATTTTAATTTACAATTATATTTTATTATCTATCCCTTAATGGAAATATAAAATTTTTAGTTAATATTGTTAATTTTATTTAAAATTGTATGCTTATTTTAATTTGGTCTGTTTATTATTTTAAAAAAGCATGCATTTGCTATTCCTCTATTTGTATATGTAGGACTGATATAAATACCCCGTGCACAAGTTCAGTTACAGATATTGATCATACATATTATCGGTGAGTTTCTAAATGTGGTATTTTTGGTATCATTTAAATATATTTTAATAATTTTATGTATGCAAACTCTAATTTCTATATTTTGTTATGTACTGTATGTAACTCTAATTTCTTGTTACTTACTTTATTTTAGGCATTGTTATTTATGTTTATTGCTTTAATAGAGAGAGCCACATAGAGAAATATATTTTATTATATTGATATAATGTTTATTGCTTTGATTACATATTACTTTATTGCTTTGATATATTTAATCAAAGCAATAACGTAACATTTAAAATGTGCATATTTACAGCTTATGATGAAGAATCAGTTTTAAGTTAACCAATAACAATTTTTATTTAAATGTTAATTAATTTCCAACTCTTACTTCATTATATATATATATATATATACACTGCTGGTCAAGTTAAAATGCAACACCATGTAGACCTCCTCTAGATATTGCAGGTCTTGCATTTTACTTGACCAGCAGTGTATTTTAATGAAGAATCACTAAGCACAATTGATAACATAATAGTTTATGATCCATGATAATATAATAATTCATGATCCATAGTTTTTCTTGCTATACCAGCTGTTGTGGCTTTCTTAAAAGTTACAAAAGCATTGATTTTTCTGGCTTCATTTTCTGATGCTGTAGCAAAAGCTAAAGGCTCAATGGAAAACTTTCTTGCAGCAACATTTACTGATTGTTGGAACCTGCTGATAGAGGGACCAAAATTATTTTGTGATTTAAAAAATAACAGAAATAATTNTAAAATAAATTTTCAATATCGCAATAACATTCTGAATCGCTAGCCACGATATAAGGGCTAAAATTAAAAATAAAATTATAAAAACTACTCGGTGAAATAAAATGTGTGGTGGATATACATACCTGGTACAAAACATTCTTCAATTGTATGAATATACTTTTAAAGAAAATTAAATATGGCTTTGTAATGAAACGTACATAAAAATAACATAAAATATTCTTTACTTTTTAAATCTTAACCACTTAGTCAAATAGCTCCCTACAAGTGGAATCAGACACTGTCCTGATAGGTGTGAGGTGTGTACATGCACACGGGCTGCCAAATCCCGAGGGTGTCGAAACCGGTCAAATGTCAAAAGATGCGACAGGGTTCTTGTAAATTTTAAACGTTTCTCACCATAGCTGTAAAAGTCTAAATATGTTAAACTTAATAGATTGTCAGTTGTTTGTTTTCTAATTCGTTTTAAGACCGGGTGTTGTCCACGAAAATTTCCAAAATTTACAACTTTTCGGTCACTCTCATCGAACTGGAAAAATGTCTGTCTTTATTACATCTAATATTTCGAACAAATCGGTTCTCGCTGTACTCGGCTAGAGATGGTTCGGTAAGGCTTTTGTTTAAGTAAAATTTTGGCTCTTTCGTCAGGGTTTTGTGTTCTCAATTCCCTAATCGCTTAATTATTTAACTACTTCTTAAGTAGAAATAAGTCGAAACTAGTTACTTTGTACTCGAATATTTGTAGTCTCGGGAAAAAGTGAAAAGACAAATTTTTATGACAAATGGATACATAAATCGTAAATTTAAGGAAAATAAATTCTATAGCTTTTTCTGTACTTTGTGCATCTCTCTCATTCATTAAATTTAGTTGTAAATGATGCTACCAAAGTAACGGTTAATTTTTTAACATAATACGAGAATTGTACACATTTTTTTCTACATCCCCTTAAAGATGGGACATACGAAATCATAATATCACTGGTTTGACACTGAAATCCATGAGTAATATAAAATTGGAGAGCGGAATAAATATATCAAATATTTTAATGGATTTTTTAACTCTCATCAACTATACAGAACTATCGTAAAAACATACCAGTAAATTCTTATCAGTTGGGTTAAGTTATAAATCTACTCGTTATTCACGTAATCAGCCAGACATCTAGTGGGTGGGTGGCTAACAGCCCGGAGCCAGTCCCGGATAGAATTGGAAGTGTTGGAATGTGTAGCATCAACTGAAGGTTGTAGGCTTCCAATGGTTAAACCGGGTGAGGTTGGTGCTCTGTAAAGCGCGTGCACGAATCTGGCTTTTTGGAATCTGACAATACAGAGATTCCACTCTGCCACTAATATTTGAATATACAATAGCGATCTTTTTTTTTTTCACGTGTAGTATAGGAATTTGTAATAAGATACATAATGCGGTTATAATAAAATATTGTGCGATTATTTTCATATAATTAAAATTAATATGTATTTATTTTTTTATAAAATACAAGGAAAGCGGTGCTTCCACCGCTTCTAATGACGGCATGCCATTGGTTCTTCTGGATCTATCACTGGTAGAATCTATAGTTAATCTTACTATGAAGGTTATTCTCACATATCTAGCTTTCATATCTGAACTCCTTCTCAGTTTTTTCAGTTTTATTTTGTAGGATAATTCCTCTAATGTTCTTTTTAATTCTTGCACCTATTCACTATTTAATATTTCTCCTACACTGAAGATGAATTCATAAACCTGAAAAGGTGCATTTTTATTTTAATAGAAGTTCCATTAAAGCAGATGTTTGATTTGTTCATTATAAAATTATTTTTCTAGATTTTTATGCAATATTTTATGACCAGAAATATTATAAATTTATATTATATTTTCTTGATTGTTGTTAGTATATTATTGTATTTTCTATTATTTATAAATTAAAATCTGTCATTACATTAAGATGATATTTTGTTGTAGAAAAAAGACAGCAACATTAAAACAATTCCCGCTTTCAAGCCCATTCCTGCTGATAATGCCACACCAGAACCGAGTCCTGAAAAACACTCTCCGCCACGTCCCGAAGCAAAAGACAAAGGTCGTGGAAGAGGCGAAAGAAAATCAAAATCTCACATGATGTCACCAACTGTCATGCCGTCTGCTGCTGCTGCTCCGCCGCCACCTCCTCCTCCTCCCCCTTCCGAAGTTTCATGTAACAATGAGAATGCAGAGGGATCTTCTGCTATAGGTGAAGTGATATCTATATCACAAAGTGATAATAGCAATGCCAGTAGCTGTAATCTAGAAGTAAATGGTCAATTAAGTAATGATACCACAATTAAATCAGACACTACAGCTGCTGTTAGTAGCACTAGTAGCATTGGTAGTAAATTTACTACAGCAAATTTTACAGAAACTGTTATTACTCATAATGGTAGTCCTGTGTTTGGATCTGATAAGCACAAGAAGAAGAAGTCCATTTCTTCAAATGTTGATAATCAAGGAAAAGCATCACAGTCTCCAGCCACTCAAGTATCTTCATCTTCGTCGACTCCTTCGACAACCACCACCACGTCCAGTCCGACACCGACTTTCAGTAGTATGTATGAAAATTTCATAACAACTGAGTTAGGATCTGGAAACAGAAATAATCATGAAAATCAACAGTCAAATAAACGTTCTCACAATGGTTCAATAGAGAAAGGAGAAAGAAAGAAACATAAGAAAAATAATGCAAGGTACAGATTCAGTAATGCAATTTCGTTTGTTATAATTCTAGATGCATAGTAATATTAATAAAAATATAATTGTTATATAATATAAACATTAGAAATTTTTAATATTGTTTCACTAAGAAAAGGTTTTTAATTTCATAAAATCCAAACAGCTTACTTTCAGTCTGTGTAACCTATAAAGTCTTTAAGATCAGTAAAAAATTATTAGACATTTATACTGTTTAAGAAAAACACCAATTAACAATATAAAGAAATTGCTTTTTGCCCTTGGTATAATTAAATTAATTAACAATGTTATTTCATGTTAATTGCTAATTAATCAATTTTAATGTACACCCCTTCTCGTTTTTATTAAATGTACTCCATTGATATCTGGGTGTTTGTCCCTATTATCTACCTCACATTAGTAGATTTTTAATTAACTAATTAACAAGTTTATTTTTGACAAAGAATGTAATAAATATATAAAGAATAAATATATATTAATATATACAACCATATCTCAATATAGCCTCTTCTTAAGTAATGCCATCCTTGTAATCCATTAATATAGTTAAATATTCATGAATGAATTTTTTTAATAAATATTAAACCGTTTGGTATCTCTGAATTATTATGTCTACAATTTTGCATTGAAAACAACATTGTTGTTATCAAATCATGTGACTTTCAATTCTCAAGCTGGTTACTGTATATAATTCTTATTGTTTGAGTTATTTCAGTTTAATGTTATGTTTGATTTAGTGCCAGCTTCAAAACTGAACAAATGGTAGTGCTAAATTGAGGTTTGACTGCATTATAATGAAATAAATATGGATACTGTATACTGTTGAACAGCATATACCAGGCATAGACAAAAACATTGCATCAAGATGGCCTCATGCAATGTTTTTGTCACACTCTGGATAACAGTAAAACCTTTTTATTTCAAAACTGAAGGGACCAAAAATCATGACTGAATTATCTGAACTTTTTTCAAATTGAATGTTTTTTGTAATTCCTGAATAAAATTATGACTTTATCTTATATAATTTATCCAATTTGGTTACAAATGCATAAATATTATGAGCTATTAGTAATTTAAACTATTTTGAAAAAATCGTCAGTTGGCATGTACTTATTGAAAACAAAACTGCATGCAAAGGAAGACCTGAAAATTACATATGCAATTAGCTTATGTGCTTCAATAAAAATTATCCACAAATTTCGTCTAGAAGACCAGTGCCTACTTCTATGAAGAATTTACCATCTTGAGTTTGAGATTTCAAAAATGTAATCTGATTAAAACAATCTCTATTAGTGGCAAGATAGAATGCACCTATGTACGCATTCTATACTGAATACACATGTGTATTTAATGGACTTTGGAATTATTGAAACAACAGATTTTTGCAAAAAAATATTTAAAATAATTAAATACCAAACAGATTTCTTCCATAAAAATAAAAAAAGTAATAAAAAATTTCTCTTCATTGACAATGTGTACAATGTCCGAATGACTTGAATGGACATCCAATAAATCAACAATGTGTAATTGGTAAAACCGAAAATGAAACTGCTACTTAAACATGGAGACTTTCCTTATAAACACATAATATGATGGAAGATTTTGAATTAAACAATATTTTTGCAGGTCACTGAATTAGATAATGACTTCTAATTTCATTGTTTGCTTATTTCGAATTATTTGAACTAAAATATATGCAAAATCTTATTCTCTTGGCCAGGGACTATGAATTATCCGATACTGAAATAACGAGGTTTTACTGTATATGCTACTTCAATGTAAAACAGTTACCATTCTCTGGAAAACTGATCATTTCTTATTTTACACATACAATTATTCAATAATCACAAGATATTTATTATATGTTTTGGAAAACATGAGTTAAGAAACTTTGTACAGTGCTCCAGAAAATGCTTCACATAAAAATTGGTAACACTAAAGTTCTGAGATGAATACACCTAGTTTATTTTTAGTAACTTCAATTATTATTCATTTATGTTATACTTGAACTTTTAGCCACTTCATTTATTTTAATTCTTAGTTATTTAAATTTCAAGTTTATTGAAAATATCTGAATTTTGTTGTTCAAATTCCTACAGAGAGACTATAAAAATAAAATCATTTGACACAAGGATGAAATTCAATTTCTTTATAAGTTGCTGTAATTGATGCATCATTGTTGAAGAATACATACTAGACACATGTTTGTTATTATCTATAACAAAGCAGCACCAATGATCCTCATTAGTTAAATTAACATTTAATTAACATGTTTACCTTTATACCTTTGTTTGATCTTGGGATGGAACATGTATATTCAAAAATGTGGCCACTCGTTGATTAGCCTTGATAGCTTGATAAAGGATTATTTGGTATTTGATGCACAAATAGTTTTTTTTTTTTTTGTTATCGCTACAAGACATTATAAAATTTTGTTGCTTTATCTGTTGCATTTGTTATGTCAATTTTCAGATTTTATAATTAGAAATTGCAAAAATTTTTAAGGTCTAATTGAGTTCTTTTCTTTTCATAGATCAAAGACAAAGAATGCAAAAAATATAACAATAAGTAGTGGCGATGCATCTCCTGGTAGTCCGGCTTCTTTGATATCTGTATCGTCTAATACCAAAATCAAGAAGCGTCGTCATGAGAAACAACCTTCTCCAGCATCCACTGTCTCTTTGTAAGTCTTAATATTTATATGATTTTCAGAATTACCAGAAAGAATTTGGTCCTAAATGTTTTTGATTTAATTATTTTTTAATTTATTTTTATTATTTTAATTTACAATTATATTTTATTATCTATCCCTTAATGGAAATATAAAATTTTTAGTTAATATTGTTAATTTTATTTAAAATTGTATGCTTATTTTAATTTGGTCTGTTTATTATTTTAAAAAAGCATGCATTTGCTATTCCTCTATTTGTATATGTAGGACTGATATAAATACCCCGTGCACAAGTTCAGTTACAGATATTGATCATACATATTATCGGTGAGTTTCTAAATGTGGTATTTTTGGTATCATTTAAATATATTTTAATAATTTTATGTATGCAAACTCTAATTTCTATATTTTGTTATGTACTGTATGTAACTCTAATTTCTTGTTACTTACTTTATTTTAGGCATTGTTATTTATGTTTATTGCTTTAATAGAGAGAGCCACATAGAGAAATATATTTTATTATATTGATATAATGTTTATTGCTTTGATTACATATTACTTTATTGCTTTGATATATTTAATCAAAGCAATAACGTAACATTTAAAATGTGCATATTTACAGCTTATGATGAAGAATCAGTTTTAAGTTAACCAATAACAATTTTTATTTAAATGTTAATTAATTTCCAACTCTTACTTCATTATATATATATATATATATACACTGCTGGTCAAGTTAAAATGCAACACCATGTAGACCTCCTCTAGATATTGCAGGTCTTGCATTTTACTTGACCAGCAGTGTATTTTAATGAAGAATCACTAAGCACAATTGATAACATAATAGTTTATGATCCATGATAATATAATAATTCATGATCCATAGTTTTTCTTGCTATACCAGCTGTTGTGGCTTTCTTAAAAGTTACAAAAGCATTGATTTTTCTGGCTTCATTTTCTGATGCTGTAGCAAAAGCTAAAGGCTCAATGGAAAACTTTCTTGCAGCAACATTTACTGATTGTTGGAACCTGCTGATAGAGGGACCAAAATTATTTTGTGATTTAAAAAATAACAGAAATAATTCCTCAAAAAAAAAAATGATGATGCCAACCAGTCCAACAAAGATGAAATAAGGATGAATTATTGTCATAATGTGTGTTTACATTTCATAGCTTTTGTAGAATCTACTCCTATGAAAGCAAGAAAAGCTTTCCATCACAAATACCCTTAATTAAACATAAATATAAATTGCCAATGTAAATTGTTCAGCAATACAAATTGCTGAACAATTTGTATTGTTGAAGTTTTCTGTACCAAGAATTTATATAGTATACAAGAATTAAAATTTAGTCAAGTAGCTCTTAATTCTCATACAATGCTATCAATCTACTCAATTATATACAGTTTAATAATTTACAATACAGTATCTATTCTGTAAGTTTAATGTGCTAAAATGTTAGTTAGTATATAAAAGGAATTAATCTTGAAGTTTATAAATTTATATAATCCAAATATTATAAGTTTTACTTTAAGTTTGACATTTAATGTTTGTCACATCATCTACATTTTCTAAACAAAAAAAAAATGTACATAATTGTCTATATTGTTCTTCATTTTATAAAGAATTTCTTATATTTCTCTGTGACTCTCTATAAAAATGCTTAATATTTTTGTTGCATTTGTGTAACATTAAAAACAGTAAAAAGTCTTTTGTAATGATAAAAGTCAGGATGCAATGCTTACTTCTTATAATGAATTAGAATGGGCTGTAATTCAAACAACTGTTGATATTATGCTTAATCATATATCTAATATAAAATATTCCTATGATTCACAAATGAATTTATGATTCTATAATTTTAATAAACTAAATGAATATTATCTATTTCTAGAAAACGTACTATATCATTAAAGATGAATAAATATATAAGGGATTCTACAAAATCAAATTATATTAAAATGTATTTAAAATAATTGTTCACAGGGTACCTGTAAATCAAATAAATTTGACTAGTTTACAAAATGGAAACAATTCACCTCAGAATAATGAACCAAGTGGAAAAACAAATGGCCCACCCATTTTAAATGTTTCTTCTGAACAAGGATTTACAGGTAAATCAACTTTATTTCAATCTGTATGTGAATGATATTATAGGTGATCCTCAACTTTCATACTACTAGCTTTTTTTATACATAATATTTTTATATCTTTAACCTTTCATTTTGATATTTTCATACATTCATATTTGGATTTTCATACACTTACAGTAAATAAAAATTTTGAGCTATAATGCAATGTTACTTATTGTACTAAATTTTGACTATTATGCAATATGCATTTTTTGCTAGTTTCGGTTTTGATAACAGCAAAATTAAGTTAAATTACAAAAATGAGTTTTTTTTGTCTGTTTTCTGTTTAATCTACAGTTTTAATGTTTAAATATTATTTTATGCATTGTAACATATACAAAAAAAGTTAAATGCTTTTTTACCTTAAGAGATTTTATGATTTTCTTTCTCTGTTTTCTTGAAATGGAACTACTATATAATAACATGCAACTTTGTTGTTTGACTTTTAACTGTCATGCTCATTTTAGAAATGTATTTTGTTCAAAAATCAAAGACTATCTATATTTCACTACGTTATATACCATACTTATTGTGATCACATCTGGGACCAAGAATAAGTGATCATAACAACTGATCATTATAATAACAAAAAAAAAACAAAAAGAGTAGAAAATGAAACACTGTATAGTATTAAGCAATAACATTTATTTTTGATTGTTTACAGTCTATAGGTAATAAATCATCAATAAAGCATTTCTAACAAATATTGCATTATAAAATCATCTGATCAACATCATAAAACTTGCAGTACTTGCTGCATTCTGGCAGTTGTTGGAAGATTAGTTATGTTGACCTCCTTTTTACTATCTTTGGCCACTTCAGTATTGTGCATTTGAAGTCACTTCTTTCATTACAATAGAACAGATTTCTTTTACAAGAATTTTTAGGTCTTCAGTAAGGATTCTTTTATCAGTTTTCATCTACACATTGAAATTTGACACTGACATAATTGGAACTTAAATTGACATTATTTTCCACTACTGTCTCTTCAGCTTCACCTTTCTTTGCAGGTTTAGTAAATCCCCTGGACTTAAAACATGGTTGATCTTGACAATCATGGTTGATGTAGAAGACATTAAGACAACCATAATGAATTCCAACAAATGTTTAATGTAAATTGATGAACATTTTCAACCTTGTTAATAGGCCTGCTTTAGGTTATAAATCTTAAACTTACTGAATTTGACATTTTCTTTGTTAGATATTTGAACATTAAATTAAAATTCTAATAATCAAACATTGAATTCAGTAGGTTAAGATTTATGACCTGAAGCAGGCCTATTAACAAGGCCAAAAATGTTCAGTTTTCATTAAACATTTTCTGGAATTTATTATGATTGTCTCTGTGTTTTCTAGATATATTTTCCAGTTTTTGAGTAATTTTCAGTCATGGTTGATGTAATGTGGTTCTGGCTCTGTTTAAGAGGGTAAAGAGCATCTAGAAGACTGATCTTTATTAAAGCTCTCCTGAATTTGTTTTTATGATTTCTATGTCTTTGAGAAGGCAATTGTACATTTTATGTGATAATATGCTTTTATAGTCATGTTATCAGCCTCGTATTGACAGATAACATGATATATATCTAAAATTTTCAATTTATTCTTCAATGATCATTATGTCTTCTCTTGTGTACTTTATCCATGATTTTGAACAGCAAAGAATGAAGTGGATACAGTACACAAACCTTGAGAATTGTCAAATTTACCTTATATAAAATATGATGGTACAGAATGAGGCTGGAGCTTCTTTTATATTATCAACATACCATTCTAAACTGGTGTAAATGTACATTAATTTGTCTATAGATGTGTAGCATTGTGGTCTTGACAATATCTAAATTGCTACTGGTCTACAGTTACAGACTTTTTTCATGTCTTGCCTGTTTCTGTAAACAACTCTACCCTCAGATGAGGGGTACAGCTGAAGAAGCTAATGTGATACAGGTGTGCAGACTGCCTGTAGATGTTCAAAATAGTTTAGGCTGGTATCACCAATACATAGTTTCTTACAAACTGATCACATTAAATGGTGAATTTTGCAGACAAAATGAACAAATGTCTTGGGACTTTGAAAAGTGATCACAATAAGAGGCTGATAACAATAAATGTAAGTTTAGTAAGTTGCATCCACTGTATAATATACCCTATAAAAATAGAATGAAATTTATAAAACTACCAGTAATAATAATTAGACACATATAGACAGCCAAGTTTTGATTATTATAATAATTAAATTATATTGTATCCAGAACTCTGCTAATTAATATAAGTACAATGTAATTTGGACTAATGATGGGCCCCATCTTATACTGTTTTAAAAATTACATTAATTACATTTAGATGGTGTAATTGGCAAACTGTCTGTATGGCAAGTAGAAATTGTGGATTAGACTTTTATTACTGATCCATTTTTTTCCAGAATAGCCCAAATCAGTATTTCTCAGTCAAAGATCACAGAACATTTCAAGTGAGAGAACATTTTGAATTTGCAGGTTGAAAGTTACATTATTTAACATTAATAATGTAGTCTGCAATATAAAATCTATCAAATTGAGAATCTATCAAATCTATTATGGAGGGTCACAGAAAAAGATTAAATCTCAAAAAAGAGGCCAAAGGTCAAGAAAAATGTTGAGAAACACTGGTCTGAATTATTAATTTTAATTCAAAATTTGACAAAGTTTTGGCCTAAATAAGTAAATAGTTTCTTAGTTCAACTAAAAATGATCAAAAGTAAAAAAATTAGATTGATTAAATTAAAATTAATTATTATAAACACAAAATCATACTAGCATGTCATTTTTATTTTTAAATAATAAGCAGAGTTATGTTTTAAAAAGGAAAGTGTATGTAATGTTTGAATAATATTAAAAAGTTCCATTTAAACATTACTTTTTTTAAGGATGGAACAGTTTTAAGCTTCATTTGTCCTTTAATCTTAATATTATCATTTTCAATAATTTCTCTGTTCTCTAATATAAACTATCCACCCTTTATTTAATTAACAAATTTCATTATAGAAAAAAAGTTGATAAAATTGTAAGATAGCAATTATACGGTAACAATATTTCATTTTAATGTTACCATATGATTGATATATATTGATATAAAAGTGGTATATTAAAAAAAAGACATATAAACAATATATTTTTTAAGAATTTACACTAAAAATTGTTACTACATGATTACTATCTTACACACATGCTTGCACACATTTATGCATGCATACACTTAGACACATATATATAATTTTATACTTTGAAATGTATTATTTATTTTAAAGTATAAATTAGAAAAGAGATTAAGACAGTTCTTAAAATACATTTTTGATGTTAAATTTTTTAATTTTTTAACAATGATTTGAGTTGTGAAAGCATTTAAAGAAGAATGTCATAGATAATGTATGTAATCACATTTCTTATTGTTTTTTTTGACATATACTAGAAAACAATATTTCTTTCAGGAATGATAGTTTATTTTGCTTTGTTATTGATTGTAATAGAAAAATATTAGTTTATTAAATAAAATTTTATATAATTTACAGAAGTTCAAGAAACTGCACCTACAACTACTTCGGTCATTGTCTTGCCAACAAGACCGACTACAAATACAACTACCAGCAAAATATCCATTCGACAGTCTCCTGAACATCTTGCGTAAGTTTATTTTATCCCAGTCTTTGATAAATTCTATATTGTCAGTCAAAATCTGATTGGCTGAGATAGTAAAAACACCAATTTGTCATCTTAAAAGATTGTAATTGGGTCAGAGTTTCAGAAATTTTTACAGATCATTTGACTTAGATATATTGGGTTTTGGGCCCCATCTCATACCTAATTGTGGACTAGGCCAAATCTTTGGTTCATTTGTAAAAACAGATTCTATTAGTGCCTACAGCATAGAAAGACTTAAACAAGAGAGTAATTTTCTCAAGGATCAATTCTTAGTTTTGTAATTTATTTCTGCAATTATTGTTTAAAAAATGCACAATTCTAACTGTATATAAATGAATAAACTTGCCTTAAATTAACCTGTCCCATGTTATTCCTGACATATCGCAGGTTACGACCTGCTGACCATGATCAGTTGACCCCGAAATATTTCGTTTCAGCATCAGAACGTGTTTGAAACTACATGTCACTAGTCGTTATAATTTTTATATTAAAACTAACTTCTGAAATATAATTTTTTTGTTTATACATTTATTAATATATTTATTTTGTTTGTGCACAGTAAAAAAAATAATTTTGAACAATACAATAGCCATGATCAAACATCCTTACTACACCCGATACGTTTAAATTTATCAAGAGATGGCGCCTAACTCTAATGCCAAATCGTCTATTAAATTATTAGTATTATAGCCATATCTAGCTCGATAATATTCAGCTTTGGTTGATGTATAACAATAGCCATGATTATTTTTTTCAAAAATGTGTAATTTTCGTTAGGCTTAACATCAACAAAAATTCAACATGGCACGACATGCAATGTAGAATGATTTTAGCTCGATAATATTCGGCTTCGGTTGATGTATAACAATAGCCATGATTATTTTTTTCAAAAATGTGTAATCAACAAAAATTCAACATGGCACGACATGCAATGGAGAATGATTTTAACATCGGATAGGTTAACTCAAAAGATTGGTTTTTATATGAATTTTCCTTTTTAATTTGGTATCTCCTGCCATTTCAAAAAATCTCTACTGTGTCAGTTTATGTTCCATTTGTATTTATATAAACTCATTGTTATTTTAAATTTGGAATATGCAACATGCTAATTAAATTATTGATGTTTATAAAATAAGAAATATTCATCCTTCTTTTCAAGACCTCCACCAATGCCTCAAACATTGGATCAGTTATTAGAACGTCAGTGGGAACAAGGATCTAACTTTCTGATGGAACAAGCACAGAATTTTGACAGTGAGTATTTTAATTATTAAATTAGAAAAGAATTTAATAATATGTAATAAATTAATTTATCATCATAATATTTTTCAGTTGCGTCATTGCTTTCTTGCCTTCATCAATTGCGGGCAGAAAATCAACGACTAGAAGAACATGTAAACAATTTAATTGCACGCCGTGATCATTTGCTTGCAGTGAATGCTCGATTAGCTCTTCCTTTGAATAATAATGCTTATCATCCTGTAAATATTGGAATAAATAATGCAGTTAATCCTTCTACTGAAGATAATCATTCCCATCGTATGAATAACTGTATTTCTCTTGAAAGTAATGTTGTTCATAGCACTCAGGTAAAAACTTTTTACTTTTAATAAAGTTAGAATGATTCAAAAGTTACCTACAGTCCATCCAACATACTAGAACATACAGTGATTATTTAGAAATACATTATTACTTTCATTTAATTTTTATGAAATTTGCTAATACATTTTATAATAAATAACTTTTATTGTATGAATTTGAAAAAAAATTATTAGTGAACAAAAGAGCTAGACATTATCATCAAAAATAGGGTATCCAAAATTAATAGAATAAATGTGTACTGTTGGAATGAATTACAAAGAAAGTAATGAATACAATTATGAGATTTGCATAAAAATACATTCATTAAGTAAAAAGAAAGGTTTAGTAGATCTAACAGTTCATTACTATTAAGAAATGGAACATGGAAAGGATCTAATTGAAGAGGAGAAAATCAAAATTGATATATTTCACCAGGAAGGGAGAAATGTAACTTTGATTGCTAAAAATTTGGGAAGATATCATTTAACAATCTTAATGTATCTCAATAATAAACAATATAAATCAATCAAGATCAATAAACAGGAAAACTATACAGTGGGCACAAGAGTTCAACAGCACTAAGAGAACAATGTGCACTGCAAGGAGAGACATCTGTTTGAAAAATCAAAACTGAATTGAATCTGAGTTACAGTAAATCAACAGTACACAATGTTTGATATCAACAGATAGTGTTGCTTTCAACAAAACGAAAATTGACAGCAAGCTCAGGGAGAAACACAAATAACTTTGAAAGATGAGAATGATCGTGAAAAGTAATTTTCTCAGATAAGAAAAAGTAGGATCTTGATGAATCCAATGGTTTTAACTATTATTGGGCAAACAAGAGACTAGATTAAAAGCAATAATCAAAGAGGGTAACTGTTGGCGGTACACTCATGACTTGGGCAGGTTTTGGGTGGAATAAAAAGACAGGCCTAGTATTTATTGAAGATCAATACAATTCTTAAATTTATCAAGAACTTGTCTGGAGGCAGCTCTAAACTTATGAATAGCAAATTGCTGGAAAGGACTTTTGTATTTATACAGGACAATGCAAGCTTCCATGTATCAAAATTTTTCTTTTTCAGAACAAGAACATTTGACTCAGACTGGCCACACTTCAGTACAGATTTAAACCCTATTGGAAACCTTTGGTTTTCCAAATTTATAGCAATACAATGCCATCACTGAACTAAAAACTGCTCTTATTGAAGCATGGGAGGACATTCTGCAAGAACAACTGCAATCTTTGGTCATTTCAATGTTCTATCATATTTTTAATGTTTTCTCCAAGACGGTAGCAAAATCAGTTATTAATTTTAACTTAAAATTTATCATGTGTTAAGATGTTTTATTAATGTTGAACACCCTGTTTTTGATAATAGTAACTCATATTTTGTTTAATAATAATTTTACTTCAAACTCATGCAATAATAGTTGATATTTTATTATAAAATATATTAGAAAAATTTTGTAAAAATTATATGAAAATAATAGAGTTTCCAATCACTGTATGTTCTATTATTGTTAAGTGGATTGTATAAAGTTTAATGCTTTATTACAACTGAAGAAATATTTTGAAGCTATTTATATTACAGTGTGTTCAGTGGTTTTCCCTTTACTTCAATCTTGGTCTTCATGATCTTATCCTAAAATTTGATATCACACTGACATAATTGTGGAAACAAAAATTTTACACTTAATAGGCAATTCAAGTCTTATCAAAGCATTTGAGTTGATCTGATACATTATCCTCAAAATATCTTTGCAAAAAGAAGTCTCACAAGGAACCACTTCTAGAGAATATATAGATCAACCAATTTCCTTTCATTTTTGTTTTTCATAGTGCAAAGATTGTTGAAGTTAAGAGTTTGCAAATAAGTCAAACACAGTTGCAACATAAATAGTTTTAAATATTGATATGAATGATATTTGAGTAAGTTTTATATACTTTGTTCAGTTATAATTAAATGTAAACTTGGTAAGTATCTTTTGGGCCATTCTGTATTTACTTGTTTATATAAAAATATATAAGGTAAACGCATGAGTAGTGGACACTTTGAACTTCAAATATGAGTAATAAGGTTGTAGATGGCTTCACTGTTCAAACATACAAATCATTCAGTAGACAGAAGTTCTGCGTACTGAATGCAGTGTCTCATCACTACTCATGCAGTGTCCACTACTGGTATGTTTACTTTATATACACATATATACACTATGCCAGGGTAAAGCTGAAAGTTGACTGGGAGACAGAAAGCTATGGGCAAAAGATATTACCAGTCAATATAACTTAAAATTAGTTTCTTTTTTTTTTATTCCAAACTGTTTGTGATCAAGGATTTCTAATTATTATGCATAACTTTAATTTTACATAAACTTTTGTCTTAAATATGAAATAATTAAAAATCATGTAGTTATTTTCTTACTTTTTCTTTAAGTTTTCTTATTATAAATTAGCATTATTTTTAATTTGTGTTAATAATATAAAATTAAAACTATAAAACAATTATAAAATTTTCTTTAAAAATTATATATAAATTTATTGTTCTGGCATGTACTTCGAAAATGGTTTAAATAATCTGAAAATATTTAGCAATCATATCAATTTTTATTTTTACAATAATAATAAATTGTAACTAAAAGGACTGTTATAATTATCAGAAAAGCCCTGCACCAGGACATAGTCCAGTTGCTACAATTGGGTCTAGCAGTCTACCTCTCACACCAAGTCCAGCACCAAGTCAAGCCTCAATACATTCATCTAATGCCAGTCCTGGTCATCAGACAGTCCCATTTACTACATCATCTCTCAATACATCAAGACATCCTCAGGTAGCTTTAATTAAATTTATATAACTTCTTTCCTTTATCTCTCTATTTTTGGTATTGATACATATAGTATGAACTTTTTCATTTATTTACAGTCTATCATCCCAAGTTCTAGTCCTGTTGGTCAGCCACCCGTTGCCATTACTCAGTCTCAACCACCTCAAGGATATGTTACATCTACATTAGATTTACCATCATCTCTCATGATCAGTCCAACGTCATATAATAACCGAAGTAATCAGGAGCATAGTTTACAGGTAATTAAATTAACTATCTAACACAATTAAGATTTTACATTATTACAGTAAATACATTTTGAAACAGGGTTGGTTACCTATAAGAATTATGGGTTCCTGATTGACCCTGTCAAATGTCCATAGATATGAAGGTTTCTTTGTTTACAATGACATGTATTTGGAGTTTAATTTTCTCCAAGTGTTAAGTTGGCATTAGTATGCAATTAAATTGGATAAAGTCATAAATTTGTCTTATGGGCTATCCAAAAATAAAACTGTTACTAGGAACTGTTATCTGTGGACTGATATCATTGGTGAGTTCCATCAACTGCAGCATGAATTGATAGTAGTCAAAATATTTTAGTTGGACAACACATTGACGATACCTGACAAGAGAAAGTATTCTTTAATATTTGTGGTAACTTATTTTTTGGTAAATGCTTGTGGTAACTGCCGTGATGGCAAATTTTTGGAAAAAATGATTTAATTAATAATCAAGACTTTGTTGGTATCATTGATAGACACCAAGTCCAGAGATGATTTACTGATAAAGATAGTTTTTTTTTTTTTAAGAATTTCATCGAATGGCAATTTTATGAAAATTAATTTGAAGACACAGTTTGTCCAAATTGGGAACCACCATTTATTCACTTGTATTCCAGAATACAAACATTTGATGATATGACCTTTCTTTTTAGGCTGCTTGGCTAATTTTCATAAAATTGCCATCTGACAAAATTCTACAATTGAAACTTTTGCAAAGATTCGTCACCAGGGGGAAGCTACAAAAATCTACATTTACCAGTGCATTTTCCTCAATAGATATAAAGCTCAAAAATTCCCGAGTGGTAAGGATGGAAAGAAAAACGAAGATGTCTTTAAGATCCCCCAGTTCCAATTTTAACTTTGTAATTTTAATTGGCTATTTTTCTGTGTTTTTTAAAGGGATGTTTTTAAACTTGATGACAAGCAGCCTAAAAAGAAAGGTCAAGTCATTAAATGTTTGTATTCTGGAACACAAGAAGTGAATAAATGGTGGTTCCCAATTTTAGATAGACTGTGTCTTCAAATTAATTTTCATAGATATTTTTGTTAGTGATTGTAAATTGTTGAAGTAAATCTTTCAAATCAAGTAAATCAATTATTACAAATTACTTATATCTAATTATGGTAATTTCACTCTAGTAATGATTGCTCATATGGTAGTTTGAGAAATCATTCAAGTGCTAGTGCAATAAATGATCACTTATTATCAATAACTGAAGCTAATGCAGTAACTGATGATTGGTCCTCAAGTAATCAATAATCAGTTATTGCATTAGCAAATTGAGAAATATTTGAGTGATTGATTTCTCAATTGGGAGTTGACTAAATCTAAATCTAATAATTTATTATTTGAATTATGATACTCAAAGGATGAATATGGAAGTTATTTACTATCTTGAATTTGATATTTTTCCAAATTAAATAAATTGAAAATTGATTTATACAGGATGATCGAAAAGTTGTGCACATCAAAATATTAGTTTGTGTGAAAGTCGCTGAATTGGTGATATCCAAATGTCAGGACTTATCATATGTGGGATGAAGGAAAGTGAGGCAAATAGCTGCAATGACAAACAAACCCGTTTATTTATACTAAGTCTTACAATCTAGTGTGTCTTGTCTTCTGGTGGCTCTGGACTGTTGAGTTGTTGGTCCCAGAGCAGTCAGTCAATGCTTCGATGGTGTGGGAGGTTGTGATGAAGGGTGATAGACCGAAGTTCAAACAGGATGTTGTCCACTTGTGGAGGCAGGGAAAAGTCTGGACAGTTGACTATAGTTGTTAGCTGGGGAAAGTCTGGACAGTGATTGACACTATCAGAGGCTACGAGAAGTCTGGAAGAAGTCTCTACAGTTAACTTCACTAGGGGAAGCAGGGGAAAAGTGTGCCTTCGTCCTTGAGATCCGGATTTTTAAAAGATTCTCTTCCCCGGATCTCTAGCTTTTGATTGGTTGGTTTCCTCTATCCAAGCAGATGACAGACCATTTTGTGCTACCAAAGGTTTAATTTGACACTATGTTTTAATCCAATTAAAGGAAATTAATTGTATCTTGAAATTCTTGCTTATATTTAATTGTTTTGAATTCTTATAAGTCTGACACATAATGTCAATGCTGCATCTCCTTTTAAGGTTATTTAAAAACTTTTCTTTTTCCTTGATTAATAATTTTATTATTTTCCAATTTTATTTAGGTTTTTCTTCCAATTTTTACGAGCATTAGAATCAAAGACTGATCCCTTGATTTGACACCTTTTTATGATATTTTTAACACATGAGCTCGAGTATCGCTCGTGCCTCACATTTGTGTAAATTGTGTCATGTTATTCAATAAAAATAAATTGGTGTCATCTTGTGCACAAGATGACGACATCATAGTAACTTATGACTTTTGTGTGAAAGTCATAAAATTGGCTGCAGATAGCATTGTTCATTGAGGAAATGGTTTTTTTTCCAGGAACAATGGATTTTCATTGTTGAGCATTATTTCACCAATTGCTCTTATGCACATGTTGCAGATGAGTTTCATCAGAAATATCCATATTTTGCAGTTCTTGCAAGAATTCATTGGCAACCATCTTATTTCTAAAGGAATTTGGTCCTCAGAATTGCTAGACTTGTCATCCCAGATTTTTATCTTTTAGGTGTATCTCAAAAGAGCCATATATAAAAATAATCTACACATAATAGATGAACTGTAGAGGAACATTATATCTGAAAACTGATTACCAGCATCAGTTTTCAGCTGCATCAGAAGGTGGCTTCAAACATGGTAAAAAAAAGCTCACACTGCACTTGTGAACAAAGAGGCCATTTTGAAACATGTTGTATAACATGATTTGATTTTGTTTATCTTAGAGATCAGATTATGAACTTTGTTTTTACTACATTCTATATTTTTGTAAATTAACCTCACAAAATAGAATTTATTTCTAACACATGCACATGACTTCGATCACCCTGTATAACACATTTTGAATGGATATAGCAAAACTATAAACAGAGCAACAGACCCCATTGCTAAACAAGCTATTAGCACATACACATATATATGCATTTATTTGTTTTTATAACAGAATTACTGAGATTATATGGTATATACAATCTCAGTAATTCTGTCCTTTGCTAAGTAAAAATATCCTGTAAGCCAATGGATTCTCGGGTATTATCATCACTGTTGCCAAGTCATATAAGCTTCCCTCTAGTTCAAACTTCAGTTGCCATAAAATTTGAACACATTCGCATTAAACACAGCATGATACTGAGCTTGAGTTCAGACATGATATTAAAAGATTAAGTTTGTCATCTTAGGCTGTTCAAAAAACAACTACAGTATCTTATAACATGTAAACATAGGACATTTTTGGAAATTGATTTTTGTCGAAAACACTTGTACCTCTCACTAACTTATCTTATCAACTTGTGAGAATCTTATCAACTTGGCTGCATTATTAACAGTTTACTGACTCTATTCAAGCAGTTTTCATCAGGGTGCCATGAAATAGTGCTGAGAACTGCTATAACACTTCTTACATGTATTATGAAAAGTACAAAAAATTCAGTAACTCTGGTTCCATATAACTTACATTTGATTACCAAGATTGTACTATATATGTGTAACTTTTTTAATTTTTAAGGACTGTTTAAGACATAATTATTATTTTTTACTTTTCTAGAATCAAGGTTTAGTTTATCAGTCAATATCTCCGCCATATAGTACAGTTACATTACCGACTACGGGAAGTGGAACAAATACCACTACATCAACACCTCTCCATTCATTGTGTTCTAATGTGGTACTTCCAGTAAGCGTGGTCACTAATCATCAATCTTATCAAGCACAGAACCAGAATAGTATCACTGAAGAGGAAAGATGACCATTATGAATGAGATAAGAGTAGTAGGTTCACCATACTAACTGCCACTTTCATTATCATTTTATATACCATATTGACTTGTAATTTAAGCACTCAGATCTTTTACTCCACATTTTATCAGAATCATGTCAGACACTCTGTCCTTTCCTGTCATTTATAACTAATTAATTTTAGTTATGACTGATTCACGTCAAAATCACTAAGATGAAATTTTTTATATTTCTTACTACTAAACAATTTTGCCTACAGTATTTGAAAACTTTTGGCAAAAATCTGTTGCAGTCTTGTGCAAGTTAGTGTTAAGATACAAAATATATAAACAAGAGTAATTTTCAAAGTAGTGAGACTGATCTAATATAACCAAAGCTAAATTGCCAAATTATTTTCAGATTATATTAAGGTTAATGTAATCAAATTAAATGCCCAGAAGCAAAGATCAAGCAGAGGTTTAATAGCATAATTTGTAACATCCCATTCAGAATGCAGGAGATGCAAGTCCAATTTAGGTTGATCTGTTCTTCAAAAATTTTAAAAATTATTTAATTAAATTTCAAAATTAATTTTTAAATTTAATCTCTACAAATTGGTAGTATAACTAACTGTCTTTAACCATATTTCATTAATACAGACAAAAACTAATCAGGCAATAGCCTGGTGCTCTGTAAGGAAAAGAATTTAAAAACATTTCAATTGCTATTTATGCTCTGCTATAAAATGCACTTTTTTCTGTGTTTAGTACAGTTGAACTTTTCTATCTCAAATCTCACAGAATGAGAAAAAAAATTGAGATAAACGGGTTTTGAGATATAGAGGTTCTTACACAGAAAAATAGTTTAATAGGTTTGACTGGAGGAGAGTATTTTATTAATGCAATTGCAAGTACAGTACATACTTATATAAGGTTTAAATAAAAAGTTTTTGACATACCTGAACATAAATAGTTTGTTAATAGTTTTGGATGTTTGACTTTCTTCAACCAATAAGATGAAAGTCAAACTCATAGCCAACCAGAGAAAAGCAGCATTAATTGCAACTATGTACTGTATTGCAAGAGATGTTTCTCAACTGCAATTTATGCTATCAATATATATTCACTGAGTTTTGAAGTTGTAATTGATACTTTGGTCTATAACAGACATGGGCAAATGCGGCTCTTTTTGAGTTACATGCGGCTCTTGCTGAAAGTGTTAATTTCTGCTTTTTATTATTATTTTTACTATTTTATTTCCACAATTTTGTTAAAATATGTTTATTAAAAAAATTCGATATTTGTTTTATATTATATTTATATTATATAATAAAATCGCAGTACAGAATTAAAAAAATATATAGAATTGCGGCTCCTATGCATTTTGCAAACCTACATTTCAGCTTCCAATGAACTCTTGCTTGCCCACCCCTGGTCTATAATTTGAGATGTAGAAAATATATTGAATTTATGCTGATAATTCAGGTGGAAAAATAAGTTTTGAGATAAACATGTTTGAGGTAGACAGGTTCAACTGTATTTTCTTTTTGATTTCATTACTTTTTCTGACCTAAATTACAGTTAGACAATACTTTGCCTTGGGTTAGGGCCATTCATTACTTGCATGTACAGTTTTTGAATCACTTTTGATCCCCCTCTTTAATTACAATAGTACATGTACAATAGTTCATGGGTTCCAACATTAAAGAAATAATTGAAAAGTTATGCAGATATTTTATGACAGTTTCTTCTCTTCATATGACTAATAAGTAGACAGCCTAGATCCCATCCCTCCCTCAAACTGTAGATGTAATTAATGAATGGCTCCTTAAATATAAAATCTGGTGAATTATACTAACAACCAATCTATTTTCTATTCCAATTTTCCAGCCATATGTTTTTTAAGGATAATGAGATTTTTTTGTATGAAAAGTAATCTAGATGCATAAACGCTATTCTTTTTTATTTATAGTATACATTACTTTATACTTTTTTATTACTTCATTAATAATTGTTGAATGATAATTCAACAATTATTTTCATGCTCAAAGCCAAAATAATAATAGATTTCATTCTCATTAGCTTCTAGAATTATGGTAAATATCTGGTTTTTTCACATCCAAAATTTAACTAAACTCCCCTTTAAATTCATGTTACGTTTATGAATTAAGCAACAACCTAGTAGAACATAGCCATGTTTAACATGATGTAATCAGTCTTGTTACTTAACTACGAATGTAAGAAACGTGCTTAGATTTTGATCAAAATGATTGGTAGCACGATTGGCTTTCGGCCCAATTATGCAGTTGATTTAAACTTTTAAAGACTGCGTAACGTAATGTAACACGTAATTCGTTACGCATTAAAAGTGATAAAAATTACAAGAATCAGTATGGTAGGTAACTGTTATTATGTGAATTATTTTCTCTTATTTGGTACTGGTCGACAGAACATTTTTATCGATTAGTTTATATTTTAATGTATAAAAAAAACTTGCAAACTAATCAACATTTAGTATCAAACAAGAGAATTTAATGACTTCAAATGACATTTGTGATATTCATATGTTGTTATAACATTTATATAAATATATATAAATATAAAACACACACACACACAATATGTATAGAATTAATTTGTACGATGTAAAATTCAATTTTACATTAGCTGTTTGTTTATATTTTTGATCGTATGGTTACAATTATTACGAATTATATAAATTGTATAAATTCCGTTTCCTCAATGTTTGAGCACTCCCACTTATAACAATTCGTACAGCCAAATAAGTAAATATTTATTTAATTACTTTTTATATGTATTATGTAAAGGGTTTCTCAGTACAAAACACTTTGTTCTCAAATGGTTTTTAAATTATATTTTACAGAACTACAAAAAAGTATGTAAATAAAACGCCAGATTGGTTCGTCTTTTAACTTAACGTGCATCGTTTATGACATATATGTTCGTAGTTTTAGCGGGCATCCACGTATGCGATTTTGTCGGTCGATCTGAATGCTTTTTGCACTGTACATGTAGGGGAAAAAATGAGCGTCTAAACGTGCTATTGGGTGGAAATCATTGGAATGGGTTTCTTTTTCATCCTGTCAATAGGCAACCAATAAGATGATTCCACGTTATTTTCTAGAAAACCGCTAGGCAGATGAACACTTCAACTGAGGAATTAATAGAAATTTGCAATTTTCCGGAAATCTTTGGTAAAAGGGATGGAAAATATAAAGATGAAAAATGGTTTAAAATAATAATAATAATAAATCGATGTTTTGTTTTTTATTTTGTCGCTAAGATGATACAAGCATCTTCTTTGTCGTCCATATTTGATTTATTCTTCCTGCCATAAGAATGAAGCTGAATGGCGCAGTGAAATCGCTCACGTGGATGCTTGGCTTCACGTTAATTCTCCTTAATAACCAACGAGGACTGAATAAGTTTCTATTCGCTGGAGAGGCGCGATATATAATTCGCTTCTAATCTTGTTAATCGAATCGAAGTTTTCTATCCGTTTTCAAGAAAATTTAACTTTAATTGCTTTTTATGACAAAGTCTAACTCAAATAATGCTCAAATATTCCTTTCGTAAATATAATTGCTTTGTTTTTGCCTCCAAACGAAACCACTTCAAATTGAAGTAGTCACCTTTACAGAGAAGGCAACGTGTAGATATTGAAATGATATTTTATATTTGCAAAAATCACTCGGTTGCTGTATTTAAAATACTGTATTTATGTATAAGTGGTGTACCAGAAGGTGCACCGCAACTTTAACAAGTCACAAAATTATATGGTTCTAGATACGACGAAACTTTTCACTGCGTAGGAAAGATAAGCACAATGTTTATTTGTATATTCATTCGAACAATGTAAAAATAAACGTGTTTGTTACAACACATCTAGACAATAACCTAGTTCTCCTGTTGACATGTGAAATATTGCAAACATACAATATTTACAATATTAGCGAGGTTGAGGCCGAAGTTTTAAACACGAAAACGCGTACATCGGACGTTCAGCGCCGCTTTCCTGTAAGCCTAGAAGTTTGACAATGGAGTTTGTAATGTCGAGCGTGATTCCACTGACTATCCAAATACAACAAGAATTCTCATTCTTGTTTTAATTAGAAAATTTAAATAGAAAAATAAAAATTTGAATAATCTGAAACTATCAATCAGTGGAGATATACGAGGCACATCAAACTATTGGAGTGTTAGAAAATCGAGATTACGTTAATAAAAGACTAACTTTATCCATGGGATGCTATTCGGCCTTCACTAGACTATCCTCAGTCACTATTACATAAATATTGATACCTACGACAATTACAAAAAATTTATTGTGCTGCAATTTGAAAAAATTATAGAACTATAAATTCCGACTGTTGTCCGTCTGTGTGTGTGTCCTTCCTTAATCTCGTAAACGGTGTTACTAAATAGATGAAAGTCGAGACCAGATATGTAAAGCTTGACTATATATGAACTTCCGCTTTAGGCTGAAAGTTACGTTACTTCAATTCAAAAATTCTCTCCTGAACACAGTTAGATGACAGGCATGACTTCATTGTTAACAGGAAAAGTATGATGTACAGGGGGGCAAGACACCACTAAACTTTAGTGCGTTTAACTTCAAATTTTCCGACAGCAAATGAATATCTGTCCTGGTTATCACACATGCGCAGAATGCTTCAGATGCAGACTTAGCGGGACTAGACTACAGTCACCATTAATTATTCCATACTAAAAAAGACACAAGTAGAATTCAGTTGTCATCTTTACATCTCGCGATTAACTGAATACAGAGAGAACGGCTTTTGTTACTCTTTCAAACGCAACAAGAAGCTTCGTGTTATCTCCAACCATATAATTTTTGCGGAACATTAAAGTTGTGGCATACCTTTTCGAGCCACTACATACAAGAAATTCGTATATGATACGATTGCATAATAAAACAGCAAAATACAGAAGAATGCTTATTGTAATCACTACTATATTGATGATGATAACAGACCAATAATATTAATTGGAATAAGTTTATTGACTTACATTAAAATAATTATTATTGTTAATTAATGTGCGATTCATTTGGTATCATGTAACTACTGTAGTGTTTTAACAATAGCTAGAATATAATCGAAGTTGAAGTGTGAGCAAATAATTAAAATTATTTTTATTTTACTTAAGACTTGTAACGATCATATTTTGAGGCCGCTATAAAGTTATTTTGTTATCAAATTGGCACATCCCAAAATACCAATCTGAGTGATTATAATAAGTGGATTCTACTGTATTTTTCTTTTTGATTTGTCTGTTGGAAAAATTACAATTTTCCCAGAGAAAGACTTAAATTACTCCAAAGCATTAATAAAATTGCCGAAATTTTGATTCCCATGCAACGTTATATTGTTGGTTTTTATGTCAAGGTACAAAATTCAATGAAAAATAGAAAAGTCAAATTATATACTCGCATTTATCTCGAACAGTTTTCTCATAATGATTTGTTTAACGTTTCTGTCATGTTAAAATTCTAAATTTTATCCAAAAAATTCAAATTTATGCAGGAATCAAGTTTTAATTGCACGATTTTAGGTCTGGTCGAATGTAAATATCATAGAAGTCATTTCGAAACACACGATGATAACATACTCACAACACTTGTCATGATATGTGATCCTGAGACCACTGGTCATACGTCAATAGTACGAGTTATGCGGATAAGTCGCATATTGGGCATATCTTTTGGCAATACGCATTTGTTACAAACGACGTTCAAAACACAAATTTCAATAAAACCAAAATCGGTTTTTATTAATTATAAAAATTAACCGTCAGGGTGTCTAGTGTTGAGAATATTACATGGGTAATCAGAGTTCTATTGTACAGTGGTGCCTCGTACTTGCACTTCGAATTTAATTCATTTCAGGAGGTAATTCGAAGTCCGAATAAATTTTACCCATTAGAAATAATGGAATGTGAATTATTTCATTTCCAGATCGTAATCAATACCCATTTCGATAAATTTAAACACGAAAATCATAAATAAAATAGTATTTACGTAGCCTATTTAATAAAATGAAAATTGCTTTTACTGGTTGCACACCGTGGGCTTTGCATCTTAACATATATAGATAATGTGTGTGAGATTTTATCACTTGTTTAGAATCTTACTCTAAACTCTACTTCACGCTTTCAATAAAGTTATAATGTCTTCGGATAAAAAGCATATTAGGCATGTTATGCTTTATGACCTTCAGAAAGGATATAACGCTGTAGAAACAAAAAAGAAAAATTGTGATGTATATGGGGAAGATGTTCCTAAACTTCAAACATGTCAAACTTGGTTTAAAAAGTTCCATTAAGGAGACTGAACTAAAGAATACAAAACGTATGGGGCCCAAAAGGGGTTGAAGAAAAATTGCAGGAAGAAATTATTAAAAGTCGATGAATAATTCACAAAACAGTATATATAAAACCAAAAATATCAAAAATAAAGCGAAAAAAAAGGTATGGAAAACATACGAAAAGCGAGAGAGAACTTGTATACAAGGCAGTTTACGCTTCGAGTGCATTTTTTCAGTTCGAACTCAGAGGCGAATTTTGCGTTCGAAGTTAGAGTCGTTTGAAGTACGAGGTACCACAGTATTATTATCGAATTGTTTTGGATTTTGTTGCCAGATTTTTAATTTAAGAACAGAAGCAAAGATAGAAATAAATTTACAAACGTTTAACGTTTAAATCATGATTTTTCTGCTTGAAATCCGCAAGATCTTAGTTTGGTCAGGCATTTTGTTAATTTACTCAAAAATATCTGTACAAAATATAGGCCTATTTTAAGTGTTAGTTTCCATATATTTAAACAATGGAAAGGTATCATATGTACTAATTTGATTTGTAATTACATGAATTTTCCAAAAGTTAAAGATCGATGACTTCTATGAATATTTACATCAATAAAAAAATAAATGTAATACATGAACCTGCATTTTACTGTTTTAAAATATAGCTTAAATTAATTTTTAATAAATTTATGCCACTTACAAGGCGTAAAACTTCAATAAGGTAAGCAAAATTCCGTATACTGTTTGATATATCATTTATAATCTACGAAATATACATTAAAATATGCAGAAAAGTTATTTTAGTTAATATAAATTTTAAAGTTAAAATGAATTATTTTCAAAAAGTTTTGTGCTACAAAATTGAAAGGAAAATTTGACGATTGCAATGCAATGAGAGAAAGGAACGCAATTTTTTTTTTTTCAAATAAAATATTCCACTAGTTGTTAAAGCACAAAATAAATTTTAAAATTTAATAAATATTATTCTTTTTTATCAAAAAAAATTTTTTTTAATGCCAATTTGTTAAAAATACAAATTTCTCCAAAATTATTTCTCTCTCCAAGTGAATATATATATTTATTTATACAGTCGACCCCCCTATAAGATCATTGATTTTTCCGTTTTATCTGAATTACATGTTGTACGAGTCACTTAGATTTTACAAATATGTGAGCCATTCACAGTCCGGCACACGTATTTGTAAAATCTAAGTGACTCGTACAACATGTAATTCAGATAAAACGGAAAAATCAATGATCTTATAGGGGGGTCGACTGTATATATACCACGTATATATACAATCAGGGCCACCCAGAGAGGGACAAAAGGAGCAAAATGCCCTGTGCCTCGAAAAATTAGGACCCTTATACATTTTTTTTCGTTTGTTTACTTATTGATGAGGTTCCCAATATGTATTTTTCCCAGGCTTCGTTACTCTCTGCAAGGCCCTGTATATAATAATGTTTACTTAAACATTATTATATTACTAACTGCAATTATCTTAAAAATATCAAATTTTGATTGTTAAAATGTAAAAAATTCTGCAATTTTTTGTAAATATTGAAGTTTTTGGCTACTTTTCTTGAAATATAT